CAGAAATGTTATTTTACAGGAATCACTAAATATGGAAAATGGGCTCTGTCGAGCACAGCAGAGCTAATTTATGTGCTCATTGGTCAGATTGTCATTATTGGCTTTTATTCATGAGTGGAATTATTTCTGCAAAAAATTTGTTGATTTAAATGCACATGCTAATAGGATTACAGAGTTCCCATTTTGGCTCATCTTCTTTGACTTCTGTGGAAAAATCCTTTTCTCTCAGGCTGTTTTTCTGGGGTGAGAAATGGAGCTGTACATAAATCAGAAGAAGAGTCACCTCACCTAAAGCAAGATTGTGTCCTGCCATAGTCACCTGTCTTCATAGGTATATTCTGTATTAACTTCTGGTTATGGAAACATATTTCCTTCCTATCATATATGATCTGTGGTTAGTATGAATCTAAAAGAGAAGCCTGATGTTTTCTTCTGAGTTGCTCTGAGAAGTCTTTCCCTTTCCCTGTCAGAGATCTGAGTTCCTGCAGATGAGTCTGGTGCTGCATGAGCCTGATCAGACAGACCTCCCCTCCCATGCGTGCTCTGGGGAGCAGGGAGGTAAAAATAAAATGCCTTGTATTTATGTTCCAGCAGTAATTCCTACTGACTCAAATGGGAATACAACTGTGCCTCTGAAACGGGTCTATGAGATTTTCAGTTTTCCTTTCACCCAAGGTTGCACAGAACTGGAACCTTCCATTTTTCAAGTAAAAGAGCTGTGGTTTTATAGACGTCTGTTCATTTGAGCAACAACAACAAATATTTCATGCCTCCGGCAGTGCAAAAGCTCTGAATGTTAAAGCTCTTTGGTCTGGCTGAGTATCTGTCACAGTCCTATTGCCAGAAGTTTCTTGGAGGTTTGCTCAGGGGTGTTTTGGAAACCATCATTTCTTCTGTCTGAATGAATGGTTTGGCCAGGAAATCAATCTAGCCACACTAGTCTGCTGACCTCCCTACACCCATTTTGCTTCACCAAATACCTTTTTTTAGACATGTGTGTCCTGGGACATTGGTGGCAGGAAGACTGCTCGCTGCAGCTCTCTGCTGAGCCCTGACGTTCCTGCAGACCCGCTGCAGTGCGAGGACAGCCACTGGTTTGCTGGTCCTTGCAAGCAGCAGTGACTGCCTGAATTGCCACGCAATGTGCCGCTGCATCTTTTTCCAAAGTGCTCTCTGGCTTTTCTTAAGCAAACTGTGTTTTCGAACAGCTCTACCATTACAGTTTGCAAAGTACGTATGTGCTAGTGCTTTGCAAGAAGAGCACAGTAACATGTCCTCCTCTTCTGCTTGATCCACCTGGTGTCTGGATCTCAGGCTAGTATCAAGTGTCATGATTAATGTGTTTGTAGCTGTACGTGCCATGGAAGCAGCAGAGCTCACAGAAGCACAGCTTAGGAGGTTGTCTCCAAAGTCTTTCCTGGCAGATTTTTTGTGTCGCACGTTTCTGTATCTCATTTCATGAGCTCTGCTCTTCCTTGAGCTCCAGTCCTGCCTCTGCAGCCACGTCGAGGTGACCTGCTTTACGTGCAAAGGAAATCATTCTCAGCAGGGCTGGCAAACAGCAAGTGCGACTTGCTCACAAATGTGTCCATATTTGCAGTTCCTTTAAAAAAGAAAAGGAAAAAAGGTTATGAGTATTGTGTGTGGACTCTTTGGTGTGGTTTTTGGATAGTCCATGATTGGCAATGGTGGGAAGTGGGACAATGAGATGGGAGTGCTTTGTACATATGTAGGGCGGTGGGTAGAGCAAACTCACCCCACCTCGAGGGGCTCTCATGGTAGCTGGGTACCAGGGAGATTTACACCAGCCTTTCTTTTCCACCTCCCTCCCTATCCTCCAGCCAGCGGGGACTACATTACCACGTAAAGGCAAGATAAGGCCACGTTTCCAGTCTTGGGCTGCATGGGCCAAGCAAAGCCCAGGCTCTGTCCCAAATGCCTTACAATGATCAGCCAGGGCACTTCAGCGGACAAGGAGAAAGAAGGAGACTTCATATCTGTCAGGGTTGCGTACAGCATGGCACAACTGAGATTTAGTAGCCCCTTGGTAAATAGCCTTTTTCATCACCAAAGACATGACCTTGAGTGGGAAAATCCAGAGCCTGGGTTCAAGTGGGATTGTTGCATGGTGTGACACACCTCCCTCTGGAAACCTTTGGGTTGGCTTTCATCATGGCTTGTGGCTCTGGAGGCCTGATGTTCGGTCTGCAGAGGTTTCCTGGCTCTAGGTTAAACTTTGGACAAAATTCCTGCAAGCGGGCAGGGTGGGCTGTGGACCAACTCGGGACTTGAGCTGTTTCTGCCCACCTGCTGCCTTCCCCAGGGTGACAGGGGACAATGACTGACCATTGCTTCCCCAGGACGGCCTTGAGAGAAGACTGCCGCGGTGTGAGAGGTGCTGTGTGTCTGTCCGTGCCCCGGCCGTGGCTGTACTGCCTGGGGGAAGGAGAGGGAGGCAGCGAGGCTGGGGTCTGGCCCTGCTCGTAAAACCAGGGACATCTCCTGGTGGGAAGGGAGGTCCCTGCCCCTTTCATCACGGACTTTGGTTTTCCTGGGTTTGGCCCTGCCTTGAGCCCACCGGGCTGAGGTAGGATTGCGCATCTCGGAAAAAATCCTTGGGGTGGAGAGGGTTGTCCCAGGCTCCATTTAGCCTCCTGTCAGCTCCCCTCCCTCACTAAAAGGTAAATTGGCAAGGTGCCGTCGACTGGAGGTAGGAGTTTGTTCTGTGTTACTTCCAAGCTGTAGTAGAAACCTCTCTGTACGTTAATCAACTGAGATGCGGGAAGACCAGCTTGTCCTCGGTTCTCCTCAACCTCCCCCCGAGCCCAGTCCCCAGCAACAGCAGCGAGTCCATGATACGGCTGCTTGCCCCAAATCATCCCTGACAGTGACAGCCACCACAGAGTGATCGCTTCCAGCATTTCTCCTCCCATGACTGCAGCTTGGCTCCCTTTGCACCAATAATTCCCAAAGTTAATCCTCCTGCAGCAGCAGTGGGAGTGCGGGCACCTGAGGGCACCCTGCTGGGCACAGCCCCTTGCGAGGAGCCCTTGAGCTTCCCCCACCACCTGTGGGGCTTTCAGTGCTCTGAGGGGGGGCGGAGAGGCAAAGGCACTTGGAAAATCAGAATCTCCTTCGTGAAACCCTGAACGTTGCTGATGAAAGGTGCACTGATGAACTCCCAGAGCATCACACAGAGCCTGCGAGAGGAGACTATCTGAAGCCTATTGAGTGGAAGATAAGCTGGCCACTGACAAATACTATCTTGTGCTAGTTGATTTAACGCCACTTCGTGTGCATGAAATAACATCAACAGGAGCTGGCTAAACCCAGGCCTTTTTGAGATAAGACTGCTACTTTGCCCCTACGAAGGAATGTCAGGAAAACCCCAGCAGCTCCACCTGGGATCCATCCTCATCCCAGCCCCTCTCATGCTTGCTCCTGTCATCAGAAGACAGATGATTTGGATTTTCTTCCTGTCTGGGAAATGAACTTTGACTTCCTCTAGCTTGTTACAATTATTTCCCTATGTTCTAAAAACCTAACTTTTGACCTCAGGTATGTAATAAATTACTGGTTCAACTTCTGACTGAGGCTGTCTATGGTTATAAAATATTATAACTCTCACGGTCTGCATTTTACAAGCTGGCAGACAAGGCGGGCTGCAATCTCTGCTCAGTGCGTAGCCAGCTGTGAGCAGCAGCTCTTGCCCAGCGGGGTAGGAGCTCTGCATGCAGGTAGCAGGAGCTGGCTTCTAAAACGTTATAGGTAATGACTCTCTGGGAGAGTAGCTCTCCCTCAGCATGTGTACTACCCAGTATCTCTAATGCTATTTATTGCTGAACTGAGAATATCTGGATGCACCAGGCTATTTTCATGTGTTGTAACTTATGTTTTTGTTTTCTCCTGGGCGGATAAAAGATTCAGAGATAACCATCTAAAAATGTTTAATAACATCAGCTGTCTGCTTTCTGATCTACAGTCTGAGATGTATCTTACAGGAGTGTGACAATTTCTGAATTCTGTAAAAAAAAAAAAAATTCGTCTTAAACCTTGTGGGATTAACCATCTCGGTCCCTGATTACTCCTGGGGAGGGAGTTGCCTTGCCATGGTTTCAGAAAGATGAAAGCAGGACACTTGTTCCTAAAGGGCAATTGAGAAATCTTGGAGCAACTTGTTTGCTTTGGTTTCAAGGACGTATTGACATTGGCAGATCTTTGGTCTGTTGCTTTTTGGGGGAGTAAGGGAGGTTGCACTCATTTCTAAGGTGCTAATCTGAACATGCATATTGATAATTGTGGCTGGATACAGTTCAGCAGAATCTCCTGCTTGGGTATAATGGAAATCTTTTTAAATTTAAGCCTGCCTTACATCTCCGTCTTGGGAATTTCCTTTGGTTTGAACCATTTGTCATCTTTTGTAATTGTTTGTTCCAGTTTCTTAGTTCTAGGGAAGGTGTGAAGTCTTCTGAAAAATTGCTTTCAGGGGCAAAGGAGATAATTTTAAGGTGCTTCAAATAACCTTCAGAAGTTAATAAGTAGTCTAACTAACAGTAATGTCATCAAGGTCTGGAAATGGCTGAGAAACATTTATGGAATCAGAACCTGACAAAGTGTTGGTGGCTGTCAGGTCTCCTGTAGTAATCTGCTTTTTCTGGCAATTCACAATGAAATCTGTGGGAAGAAGGTGAGAAATTCAGCACATAGCATGAAATTCAGGCTTTCATCACAAACTAGATAACTTTGCTGTCTGTGATCTTTCATAAGGACAGATAGTATGGTAGGAAATGAGAGAAGTGTGTAAGATCGTGAAAAATGCCTGTTGCAGGGCATATTCCTCTCTGGTGTGCAATAAAGTTTACCCAATGTCCTTGTGTAAACACAAAACCTTTCATCGAGGCAGCTTGTATTTTCATACTTAGGACTGCCAAGCGCTTGATGTGCCCTAGGAAATAGAGGAGGTGCTGGTATGATCTCTCACCTGCGTTGTTTTCTTCCAGACGCATATTCGGTATCTTCTAATGACAATGGGGGCAAGTCTGATTCAGTGGCCAACTTACAACCTCAGCCATCCCTCAACTCCATCCAGAGCTCTCCTGGCCCCAAGCGCTCAACCAACACCTTGAAGAAATGGTTGACTAGTCCTGTGCGCCGTCTGAACAGCGGGAAGACCGAGAGCAACATCAAGAAACAAAAGAAGGTGCGAGATGGCAGGAAGAGCTTTGACCTTGGCTCACCAAAGACTGGAGATGAAACCACTCCTCAAGGAGACAGCGCAGATGAGGTGTGTGTTGGTGTTTGTTGCAGGAAAGACGGTATCTCTGATAGTCTCTTCTGTGGTGTTTGATTCACACTTGAGTAAATGCACTTCACTTAGGGTCTAGAGGGAACAGCGAATCATATATAAAATGGCGTTGATTGAAGCTGTGTTGCAAACAGCATTGTCATCCAAAAAGCAATGGAATATATAGGGAACAGCATTTCAAAGTCTGCATATATTATTGTCCTTTGACTAGATATTTTTTTTAATAGCCTATTAGAAAGCTGCCAAGGATAGAAATTAAGTTATTTTTGAGCAGCTGTTATCACTTTTTGCTGGGGTTCATATCACCCTTATCCTACCATGGCAGTGTAATTCCTTATTGAAAGAAAACACTCAGAGAAATAGCCATGTTTCTGTTAAATCTGCTACGTACTTGTAGCTGCAGTTTCTCTGCAGGCATGTTCTTTGCCAGAATGGCTCTTTCCTGATAAAGTGAATATGGAATTACAAGCAAAAAATGGAGAAGATACTAACTGAACACAAATAGAGGAACACATTTTAAAAACTGTACATTGAGCTGTTCTCATTTAAATTAAAAAATAATTTTCCGTCAGCACACAGGCAGCCATAACTGCCTTAGCTGCTTGGGTGACCTATAAACTGTATTTCTCTAACTCTTAGAATGCACCAGGATTAACTGGCAAAACCTTACGTCTTTATTGATTCTCTTCCATGATGCTTAGCATTACCTGCAATTCTCTCCACTCAACGCAATATTGAGCCAGTATTAGTATTAACAGACTCAAAGCCTGGTGGTAAGTCTCAGATATCTAAAAAGATAGAAACCCATCCCTGCTTCTAATTATATTTAACTTTTCTTCAGAAGAGCAAGAAGGGTTGGGGAGAAGACGAACCAGATGAAGAGTCTCACACACCTCTTCCTCCTCCTATGAAGATTTTTGACAATGACCCAACCCAAGATGAGATGGTAAGATCTCCCTGACTACATCAGTTTGCTGTTTAAGTGCATTTTTCATATAGCTAGCTCACAGCGGTTTCATAGTGGTCTTCTAGTATCCAGGGCCTAGACTTGTAGTTATAAGAGACTACTATGTGCCAATTGTAATCTAATACCTTTCACCAACTGGATTTACAAATAGTGCTGGATAAGCAATTTAGCCCTGGCATTCCATTTCATGACAGGTCAATCGTGTACTTGTGTTGTGTGTGGTCAGAAGTTCCACTCTGGCTGATAATGCACGTTCTCCACGTCTTGTTTTAAAAGTGCCGTTGGTGTCTGGCAGTAGCAGCAGAAATGGTCTTTGGTGGCAGCCTGGGCCCGAGGAGTAGGACAGAAGCTGGAGTCTGCCTGAATCCAGAAATACCACCTTTACCAAGAGTTAGGTAGCTTGGACTCTCCACGCAAGCTTTGTGTGTGATTGGGGTCCGGGAATGTTGTCAGTCTGTGCCCCACCATCCACCCTCCATTCTGAAGTGCTTTAAAACTTACAGGTGGAAAAGCATACCCAGTGCTATGGTTTGGTATTTTCGGCATGTATGGCTGATCATCACTGAAGAGTCTGTCAGTTCCAGTTAGTTCAGAAGCCCATAAGGTACCTGAAGTCCCTCTCAGGAGGGTGGGAAAGACTTTGGTCTGCCCATCCTTGTGCACCCTGGTGGTGGTAGTTCTCTGCTGTTAGCTAGGGCTTCTTGAATATTAAGTCAGAATTTGCTGTGGTAGATGGTGCAGTGGCTTGCAGAGTCCTTCCGTTGCCTTCTTGGCCTTGGGGTGAGAATCTGTGAATACGGCTATGACAGTGGTTTGCGTTCACAGTCAGTGTGGGTCCTGTCTGCACGTGTCCTCCCCCACCCTTTCCTGGCGCTGTCATCTCCCTTGTAGAAATCCATCCTCCTGTTTAGCTCTTTCCTGCTTTCCTGCTGGCATCTGTTTTTAGCACTGCCACTTCTGTATCTCTCTTCTCTGATTGTAATTACTGCATGCAAAGAAGCAAGGATAGGGGAGATTAATAAATTGTCAGAAAAAAAACCAACCCAGAATGTTCTTGGGGAAGGTTCAGGCAGGAGTTTGGAAATACAGAGAGAAGGGCGCAAATATTTCCGAGACTCAAGGAGCAGAATGGTGGAGGAAAGGATTCGGGGGCTTGCTGCTAATCTGTCAGGAAATGTTATGACATTGTGGTGGCAGCCAGACCAGAAGGAAGCAGCTGGAGTTGTGGACTCTTGCCCTTTGGGTGCTGCATGTGCTGCTGGCTGGCTGGCGAGGGGCAGAGGCAAAAGGTCGGTGAAGCAGAGCTGTAGTGGATCCATGCCCAGCACAACAGCAGTTGCACAGGGCTTTTTCCCCATGCTGTTTAGCTAAATGTTTTGGGGTTAGTTTGCTTTTGGTTTTTTTGGGAGGTTGGCTTGGGTTCTTTTTAGAGAAAATCAAAACTGCTTTAGTCAGGTCACTATTTTTGATTTTTAACATGCCATGTGATTTCAGTATTTCTTAAATACATTTCTGACAGCACCAATGTTGTGGAACTAAACTGTTTTCCGCTCCAGATGTCTAAGCTTTATAGAGCGTTTTGGCATCCTGTTTCTTCACCCACTCCTAAAGGAGAAGATTAAATAGAGCAAGATGCGTCTGAGACCCTTTTTCTCTTTCTTTTTCTTCCCCAACTCACTTTTTTGTCATGGGGAAAAAAAACTTGATCTCACAAACATGGATCCTGAATCCCCTGGCACAGGAGCACCACGTTAGCAATGTTTGAATCATGCTGGAGCCAAAAGCTCTTTAACGATGTTATTTGGGCACAGCTCCCTGCTCATGTCCTGCTACTGCTTACAGGCACGGGCTTAGGTTGGCCAGCAGCAGCATGGGGAAGCAGTAGTGGTAGGTGGTGGATGTCCGCACGGTGCGGGAGGTGACAAATTTCCCTGAGCCCATCTGCAAGGCAGTAATAATCATGCCTCACTGCTCCTGGAGGCTCTTATAAAGACAAATTGCAAGATATTATCATATTAGAAATTCCTAATTTACTGCCTGGGAAGTAGAAATACCATTTTTGGATTTGCCCCACACAAACCAGACTCTTTTGTCAATCACAGAAGAGTTTTATTTTACCGTGAAAGACTTGTAGGCAGCAAATATTTCCATGCTCCCTTCAAAATCCTGCAGTTACTTACTTTTCAGAGATATTGAGCAATTTCAGTTAAAAGAAGTGAGAGCAACAGCTGTTTAGTGCCTCCAAAATTTGGACTCTTCCTGCTAGAATGGTTATGTTTGACGGTTGTCGTCTATGTATTTGTCCACTGTCTCTTCAAAGTCCCTATTTTCAGTCTTTTTTTTCCTAGACACGTCTGTCCGCATTGCAGGTGAAACAGGCTGTCTGAGCTTTTACATTTGTATGAGATTCCTGCATCACCAGCCTAATTCCTCAATTACCAGCCTGATTACGTGTAGGTTTTGTTGCTGTAATTAGAGCTGTTGATTAGATGTATTATTTGTGAAAGACAAGAGACGAGTGGCAGGCTACTCACCCTTCCTCTCTGTCACAAGGCTTCTGTTTGGGATTGGTCTCCTTTGCCTTTTTTTTTTTCTCCTCCTGGGGCTGCGTCACTCGACATGAGCAACCTCCCCAAAGGGCTGCTTAAAGAGGTGGCCTGCTGCCTAATTCCTGCCACCACATTTCCACGTCTCACTCCCCAGCACTACTTAATCTCAGGTGCGTGTTCATCGGCACCTGCGTGGTGACTTTGCTGCTCTCCTGAAGACCTTTATTAAGCAGCTGAGAGATGAATAAGCTTTTTAATAATTTTAATGCAGAATTTATAAAAATTTAGCCATGCTTTAGTTGTGTCAGCCTGCCGAAGGCAGGTTACCAAAGGGCTTATAGTTTTAGTCGGTGCTTGTATTTCATTCAAAAGAAATGTACGTACAGGTGAGCTAATAAATACCAATTCCCATAGCTATCGCATGAGTTTGGGTTTTCAAAGTGAGGTTTCTTTGGACAAAGACCAAGGGCTGAAGAGGCCTGTACAGAGCAAAAACCTTAAACTAAAGCTGAATATTTCACACAGAGGCCAGTCTTCACAGTGCCATGGGGGATGCTTGGGTAGCACATTGGAGAGGTCTTGGTTTTTCTGAAGATTTGTAACAACCAGCAGCTATTTATTAGCTGTGGCTACTGTAATGGGGAGACATCCAAAGACATCACATGATATCAGGCGCCTAAAATCCAATAACTGTGACCAAGAGACAGGCATAGAGAAGTGAGACTGAAAATATTCTCATGTCAATAGGGAAAAGTGGGCATCTCCAAAGAGTGTTTTTGCCCTCCTGTGCCAGGTGCTTAGGATAGATGAGATATGTGTTTTTTCTCCACTGATTGGAGAGAGGGGAGAGAAAAGATAAACATTTTAGATGGCTGAAGTTGCAAGAATGGAAGGTGTCATCTGAGTTCATTTGGAGTTGTGATTGATCTGTGGGGAAGGGATGGGGGATGATTTGTTCCCCCCTGCCTCCATCCCCTATTGCTTGTAGTTCCATGTGTACCTTGTACTTAACTGCATTTATTAAATATGTATGTATGGGGGAGGGGGTAACTTCTTATATCTGCAGTAAGAAGATCAATTTTCTGGAGCCCATAAGACTGTAGACATCCTTTGAAGGAGGAACCAACAGACATTAAGAGTATTGTAGGCTGGTTGCAAATGAACTTCAGTGCTTTGATGCTGTTCCCTGGTTCCCAGCCTTGGAACTGCTGCAGGGAGATGGGCAGCCAGAAGTGGATGACAATTCTCTGCTTGTCTGATACGGCCACACTCACTCACCTGACAATGCATGCGGTCCTGTAACCCTCCTGCTCCCCTTCCACATTCGTTCTCCTGTCTCAGAAGCTGCTTCACTGACCGCTGGTTTCCTGCTCCCTTCTCATCCTGCTAACTTGCTTTTCCTTTGCAACCTGGTGTCTTGCAGTCCTCTTCTTTGCTAGCTGCTCGACAGAGCTCCTCCGATGTCCCAACTGCTGCGGATCTTGTCAGTGCAATAGAAAAGTTGGTCAAAAGTAAGCTGGTAAGTTTAGTGTTGTGAAAACTGTGTACACAACAGGCCTAATATGACTCTAGGGAAGGGCTTTAAAGTCTGCCTCTTGTTTCTGGTTTCCTTGCTTTCCACCTTCATCTGCTATGCTTTTATTAACCCTATGTGCTCTACTTCTCAGTAGAGTGTCTAATATTTTTCCTCCTCATGTGAGATGAAGCCTACATCTCACGTTGCCAGGTAGGCTCTGCACTGCATAGTCGAAAGGCACTTTTGGAGCGGGCTTTGCAGAGCATGAGCTACTGTGCTGTACTCTTTCTGGGGTCTTGTTGGTATTCAAATATTCTACACAGTGGGATGTTTTGTTTGTTTTGTTTTAAAGCTTGCTCTGAGGCACAGGAGTTTTACTACCCAACAGGCGACTTCGGTCTTCTGGCTTCGCTGAAAAGACCCTCTAAAGAGTAGAACTGCTTGAAGTATCACAGCTGTGCTTTAATTTTACAAAGATTCATGTGTCACTTTTAATCTGCCATGTCAACTCTTTATGACAGGGAGTGGAATAAGCAATAAAAATGCTCTGATTTTAATTTGTTCAAAAATTTCAGTATTGTGTACTCTTTCTATCTGGTCCCATGTCTGTTGGACAAGGAATAAATCCTGTTTCATACCTTGGCTTCTCTTAAGTTTTCCCTGAAACAGTTCAAAATGTTAGTATCAAAGCTAAACCTTTTTCTACGTGTCCCAAGACCTCTAAAATTAGGGAAATGCTTGCTTTGAGCAAGTTTAACTTAATTAACAAGTCAGGATTAAAGCAGGGTTATGATGAGCCTGCAAAGGTTCATTTCCTTACGTATACTGGAAGGATGAGGAGAGTAAAAGCAAATCAAAAAAACCCGCAGTGATCATTAAATTACTGTAACTCTGTGGAAGCAGCTTTATCTAGTGAATCATATCAGAGGGTTTTGGTATTTTCTTGGTTTGAGATGTTGGTACATGAAGATAGTCAGCGTTCATAGGGTGCTTGATAAGGAGTAAGTGGTGAAAGAGCTCTTCGTGACATGGGAAACTGAGAAGGACATTCCCAGAAAATTTACTCAAAATAGTTTTATTCCATCGAGGGACTAACAAATCGAAAAGTATTTCATTAATCCAGTTAGATGTATTTTCGGAGGATATTTTATTTTCCCTTCCCTGCATACAGGCTGTTAGGTCAATTGCAGTTACTTTCCAGGGATTTGGGGGAAACTTTAATTATTGTGGAATGTTACTATGTATCTATCTATTTCTGTTTCATTTTGTGTTTTACTTCACTGCCAAGAATCCCCTTGCAGAGAAACACTGACCACGTGTAGCCTAACAGTGGTTCTGATTGAGACACCAGGATATTTTCAGGTTGTTTTGAAATAATTTGGAAGAGTTTTCTCATCCTGGGGCTACTGGAACATCTTTTTCCATCTTCTAGCAAAAGGACATCTTCTCTGTTTTAATGCTTTTTGGGCAGGGGTCTTATATCAACTCAAAACTGGTTTGGTTGTGTTTCACTAAGTCCTGCAGGAAAATGTTGCTGAATACTCTGCTTGGTTTTAGACTGCAGTGTTGATTGCAGAACTGACTTGAAACAGAAGATAACACTGATGCTGGAGTTCAAGGATAATGTTTATTGTTCTTTGGGGTTTTTTTAGACCCTTGAAGGAGGATCTTACCGAGGAAGCTTAAAAGATGCCACTGGCTGCTTAAATGAAGGAATGACGCCTTCAACTCCCCCACGAAACCTTGAAGAGGAACAAAAAGCCAAAGCAATGAGAGGCAGGATGTAAGTTGTCTTGATGGTTCTTCTTTCTGAAATATGCACCCAAGGAGGACACATAGCTGCACTGAAAGAATACTTTGTAGTTAGTGAATGAGCACGGAACTGGGAGTAAAACTGTGTTCTGCTTGCTTCTGTTTTTTCTTAACCTGTAAAAATACTTTATAAAAGCACTTGCATACCCAGGAAGTTCATCATCACTTTTTAAAATGTACAGCTTTTACCCCAGATAGCAAATATCTGTTGCTGTAAAAGCCTCTGAACAGCTAGACAATTATTACTGAGATGTTTGCCTTGGTAATTACTGCATTGCCAGAGGTGAAATCAGCTCTCAGAGGGAGATACGTGGTTGACCTTGTTAGCTACCTTCAAGGAAAAGAACAGAGAATCCCCCTAGGATTTTTTGAATGAGAGAATATTTTTTTGCCTTAGTTATTAGCAAAGGAAGGGGCAGAATTCAGATGCATTTGTGGTGGAAACATGCCACTGAAGAGAAAGTTCATTTGGGAAGCCCTCATGTTCATGGTAATGGGAGAGGAAAGAAATGGTGACAGCTCATGAAAGTTGTTTTTTAAAACTATCTGTATGCTTCCTTAAATGTAACAAAAATAACACTTGTGCCTTCAAAGCTTATCATGATTAAAGCATTTCTTAAATGCATAGTTCAGCTGAAGAACACAGAGAACTGGAGAAACAGAATCAAGAATTATATGAAAGAGAGCTGAGGTAGCTGTTTTCTTTATACTGCCTCTTATGCTAACAACAGTAACTGCAGTGATCTAATCAAATGGTAGATGGAGGGGAAAAGTAACAGTCCGTATAGGTCTCATTGGAGTGTGGTAAGGTGAGAGGTGGAAGAAGAGCAGCCCATTTGGGAACGATGCCAAGCAGGGAAGGAAACCAAGTCGGGACAACAAGGGAGTAGTTAAGAGTAGAAGAAGAAGTAGGAGCAAAGTGTCACAGGTCTGTGAAAGCCGTCATTTGCTCCTGCTGTTTGTTGTAGAAAGCCAGAGAAGTGATAAAGTGAGGGACTGGATCAACTCCCAGCAGCAGGCAGGGACATGACACTCCTGGATGTGTTTCTGAATGGGAGTTTTCTACTAGACAGCCGTCAGCCTTCGTGCAGGGAACATCTCTGCCCACATCTGTCTCCTAAAAGCTCCTCAATATTGCAAGTTCTTGGGTTTCTCTGGTAGCAGTTCATTAATTAGATAACTGGCAACTAACTTCAGGTTGCAGTTTTAGTGCAGAGACCTCTGCCACTGTAAGCATAAATACAGTAACGCTTTCTCACGTGTGACGCTTCTGGCAGGGGGACTGGCAGCATGTTACGTGTAATTAGTGGCTGCCTCCGTCCAGATTTCCTAAACACCAGGATGTTTAGGAGCACCTGCTAGTGGCTTTCAGCACAAGACATCTGTATCCTCTCCAGCTCCTTTGTGTCTGTGTTCTGTATCTCTGCAACTCGGTGGGTTTAATTCCATAGCCATATGAGGCAGCTGAGCTCCCAACTTGAGCTGTGACCCCCCCATTCCCCAGAAAACAGCAGCTGAATCCTTGCACAGGCATGGGCAGTAGTTTCCTGTGTCTCTGGCAGCACGTGCACGCCAGCAGTTAGCCTTAGTCTTAGGAAACTCCTATTCCATCAGGCTTGATTGCTGCATTTCTGTGAGCAACAAGGCAATAGTCTCACCAAGTAGCATTGTTCAGTATAGATTCAATACATTTACCAAGATATCCAGTTATTCAGACTTATTCAGAAGTAAGGAGGCTCTATCCTTGTTCCAGATCATGCCATTTTAAATACAGCTGTGTAGTCAATACCTGCTGGTGACCAGGGCAGGCACTTTCCAAGCAACTGCCTGCCCTTGCTCCATGTTATCAGATGAGGAGATGAGTGAACTTGAATTTTTGGCAGCATGCATCTTAGAAACCTTAAATCTGGGAGTACTTCTAAGGTCCTGTGTCAGGTAGGCTTCAGAGAACTAATAGAGATGGTCAAGGTTGATTTTTCTGCTTGCTAGAAAGAGGGGAGCTGGGGGAACACTGGTGCTGAGTTTAAGGTAAGCAGTGGAGGTGCAGACCCTGGTTCCTAATAGAGGTGTAAATTTGCAGGTTTAGTCTGTTCACCTGAGAGACACCTGGTCGCTGCACTGTTTTTTAATTCACACCTACCTGCCTGCATGTCCTGCAGCATTACGTGCTACAAGTACCCAGTGTTTCATTTTTAGAGGACGATTTGGCCAGACGGATCCTTGCAGTAACTCAAACCAAAGGAGGGGCAGTGGGCAGGTGGGAGAGGTTCTCCCGCTTCCCTCAGCAGCTCTCTGTGTTCATGGGGAGCAATGCAGACAGAGGTGGTGCGAGCTGGAAAGTAACCTCCCAGCACGCCTCCTCGGGTGGAGGAGACATGGCAAGCCTTTTGCAAGAGCACAGTAGGTCAGCCAGCAAGAGGGGACTGTACAGCATACGCTTGTTCAGGCCACACGCTGCTGCTTTGTAAAAGAGCAGCCTTTTGCCCTGCGCATGTTTACTACCCAGGCACGCAACTTGGCAGGGCACTTCGGAGAGCACAAGCATCTGGCATCACTGCTGCCAGCTCTGTCTTCTGCCAAGGGGGGTGGATTTCACTCTCAAATGAACAAGAAGCTGTTTGACCTCTTCCTGCCACGTGTCTTAAGTATCTCCTCTGCTCTGTCTGAGCAAGGGACATGTTGGGAGTGCAGCGGGAGCAGGATTTGTTTTCTCAGGAACCTCTCGTAACTGAGTCTCTCCTTGCAACGCCAGTCTACTTTTTTTTTTTTTTTTTCCCTCTAGATATTTTCAACCAGGCTTTTATCTTAGGAGTGTTTGCCCTCAGCCCTATCATTTCAAGTGGATCAGTCTGCAGATTGATGTGAATGGAGCGATATTAGACATGAAAGCACTCCTCTATCTTGTTAGCCTTGTTACTGCCATAGCGAACTTGAGCACAGATGGAGTTTATTTGTCATGTGCCAAATCTACGTATTGGCATAATTGAGAGGCAGACTGTCTGCAGCAAGCTGTAACTTTTTGAAATTGTCCTCCAAAGAACATTATGTGATTAGTCAGTTTGACTTACAAAGGAGGGGCTTTTTTTAGCTTGCTGTTGTTTGCATGCATCAGGCCTTCATTAGGTGACTCTCCTACCCAAGGTTATTAGCTCTGAAATCAGTGTAAAGCATTTGGCACCCACACATAGATTACCTAGTCTGAAAGATTGAGCTCTTGGTTATGACAGGAGAGGGGATTTGTTTTCCAAGTGTTTGAAACTTCCAGATTAAGACTTAATAGCTGAATCTTGGGCAGAGCCAGAGGGACTGGGGCAAGCAATCCTCTCCTGCTTGCTGCAGAATGGGTGAGGACACATCTCCATTGCTATTGGGGGGCTGCATGGGGGATGGAGGAAAGTGAGAAAGGGTAGTTCAAAGTACAGGCAGCTGGTTGTGCTGCTGCTCTTACACTATCCTAGAATATGGGGGGGAAGAGGGATAGGGGGAAAGAGTGGTTAAGAGAATTGAAACTACCCTGACCTGAAATGTGAGGGTTTTGTCATTGACATTCCACTGAGCTATAAGTGAGCGAAGAGTGAGTTGTGTTACGTGACCTGGATGATGGTGGGGTTTTATGGAGAGGTAATACGTGGTAAGAGGAGCAAACAGTAACATCAAGGAATATGGTCAAATATGTGTGTGTTCTGTTTTAATTTAGGTTTGTCTTAAATGAGCTGGTACAGACTGAAAAAGACTACGTCAAAGACTTGGGAACTGTTGTGGAGGTGAGCTGAAGCAAACGCTGCTATGCAAAATGTTTTCCCACTAAAAAGCACCGTGCTGACAAGTGACAACAACAAAAAATACAGGATGAGAAACAAACTGCTTTATTTTGCACTCTGCTTCCATGGTCCCCTTCTCATGTTGACAGAAACAAGAAGAAATGCCTTTGGAAACTATTTTTCTTTCCATCTAACAAATGTTGTATTTTAGGTTTCAACTCTAGCGTGCAAAGGTTTTTCTTGGCTACCCAGCTTGTGACAAACTCTTTCTGCTATAATGCAGCCTTGACGGCGGTGGTGGAGAATAACTTATGCTCCTACCACTTATTTCTTGCTTTTCTTGCTGTCATATTGAGTAATGGTAACATGTACTTTATTTGAGTTTGCACCTGGACTAAAGTCCTGTGTCTGAGCACCTTTCCAGAAGCTGGGTTTGGATCTGTGCTGAGGTGCGTGTGTGGCCCGTGTATTATTGTTTTGCAAAAAAAACCTTGAGAAAAAGTAGAGTTTGGGATTTTTTCTGTTAAAAACCAGTCATAGTTTTTTAAGCTTCAACTTGTAAAGACCTGGCTGATCCCTAGGGATCACCTGTCAGAGCCAACTCACACGCAGGGTCCAGTTTTTTTCACAGCAAGGAGGCACGTGATTGAAATGGGCTTTCAGCAATGCTTTTGGCATTCACTAGTCCAAGGAGAATTATCAGCCCATCTAACAGTGATTTTCAACAGCTTCCAAACTTGAAGACCTTTGTGTTATCTTCTGTTTACATCATGCACCACTGGCAAACCTGACAGGGCTGCAGCGTTCCAAAGGCTTGTAAAGAAACTCTCAGGAGATGTGAGAAATCGTATTCATGTGACTCTTCAAACTTACTGCTTGGCTTTGTGCTCCCACAAAATACTTATGGTGATGAATGGAAGAACTCTGTACAGAGTCTGGCTTCTTCCTTTTACCAGAGAAGCCAAGAGCTTGATAAACTGCTTTTGTTTAAGGTTTATCTTCTAATTGCACTTGTCACTTCAATGACATCTAATAACGGTTTCTGTAAGTATTGTAGATATTCAGAATAAATCCTTTAAAGTTTTCTTTTAAGCAAACTATGTAATTGTAAGTATCTAGGTGGGTTTCTGGTTTTAAATTGTACAAAAGGTATTTTAAGCGTTTTCAGTTTAAAAATACTGACATTAAACTTTTGCTGCTTTGAAAAAAAAAGAGTGTAATTATTCTCCCCTTTCAAATGAACCTTTTGCTAATTGCTGATCATTAATCCTAAAGGGCTTCATGAAGAGGATGGAAGAAAAAGGAGTTTCTGAAGATATGAAAGGGAAAGACAAGATAGTATTTGGCAATATTCACCAGATCTATGACTGGCACAAAGAGTAAGTTTTTCATTTTGTTCCTTTTTAAGCACCTTTCTAAACCGCTCGTCCATAAAGGATTGGGGTATATGGTGTCTGTATGTCTAAGCTGCTTTTAATTGAACATCAGCAGGTCATTCAGGGCTGAACTTCCAAAGGACGTTGCCTCACTTTAAATGGTCTCTGTTGGTTTGTAAGTGCTGCTTAGTAACTTCACAAATCATCGCTACCTTGAATCCTGAGAACATGTTCTGATTCATGTGCTTTTAGCCACAGTTTCACCATACACTAGATCCTGATACAGGGCTTTGTCTGCCCGATCAGAACCAGCACAACTGCATGACGCAAAGCATCGGTCCTACATAAACTCCTTTTTCCCAGTGAAAAACTTTGATGGGCTGTAGCTTTGCACTGCCTGGCTTCATGGGAGGGTGTTTGTTGTGCTGACTCTCACAGATACAGCTTTATGTTGGCTCAAACACTGTGGCAGGAGTGCTGGTCAGCGTGACAGAAATGTTGTTGCACACAAGAGAGTCTGCTCTGTGTCAGTGCTGTGCTGCCAACGGCTCCGCCATTCCTTGCTGAGGAGTCACAACAAGAGGCTCTGTTGGAGATACCATTGTGGTCCATCCACAGCTCCTGAGCTACTGCTCATACGCAGTCCCAGAGTGGCTCCCAGAGAGGTGCTGCTTGTGGGGTACTTGCTGGATCCCCAGGAAAGCTACTGAGGCTGCCATAATTGTGTTTCTTGGGTCACAGCTGTAGACTCAATCCATTCCAATGATGAGCAGTAGCAATGCTGGAATGTCATGGTTTCCTTCCTGTGTCTTGTGGTTCTTAGCAACATGAACATCTTCACATGCAGCTGTCAGGATCAAGAAGGCTGACCATACCAGTAGTATTTGGCTAGTAGGGTGATAAAATGCAAATACTTTCAAGATACTTCTCACGTAAAAGCTCTGACAGGCTTTGGCCTGTTGCTGCTTTTGACTCTGAGTTAGGAACTCTGTTCCATGAAAATCTTACTCTGCCCTCATACAAGTCGCTTTTGAAACGCTGCTGGAAACATGAGGCTTATTTTAAACCCTGGGCTGTTTCTGCTGTAACTTTGTGAACAGCAATGTCTTGCTTATGGACAATATGATCATCATTTCAACTCTGCCACTCAGAAATACTCTACAGCTCTGGCTAACTAGAATTTGAGCATGTGTGTGCAGTCTTGAGCAATGGACACCGGGCTGGATCTTCCTTCAGCTCTGGACATTTCCCTTATGCAGGAAACAAGGTGCCCTTCCCATTACGTGTCCTACAGGATGCTTATCTCATGGCCTGGGCCTGTTGTTATGTTCTGATAGATCCCGTTGTGTGCACAAAACAAAAAATGTCAGAAAAAGCTTCACCATATATTAAATTGATACCAGCAATGGCGTGTTTTTACCAGTGCCATTCATTGTTTAAGTGTGATGATAGTTTTCTGTAACACACAGGGAGGTATTCCCTATTTTTAGTTCTGCATATCTGGGTCAAGAAGTCTATTTAAATGCAGATAAATTTAACATTTATAGAGGATTAAGTTATGGAAGCAGCTGTATCTGATGGTAGCAATCGGTCTGTTTAGTTGGAACAGCTATCCAATGTGCATCTTTTTTTGAGGTTCTGGGATTTCTTGGGACCAGACCATTGCAAGCATGTCCTCTCACCAAATCTGACTACTATAGCAAATCCGTGGAGGCATTTGAGACAGAAATCCTGCAGTGAAAAAGAGGAAGATCACGGAAAGGGAGACTGTCAGGATTTGCCTACCGGTTAGAAAAAACTACCTGTATTAGTAAAGTTTAGTTTAGCTGCTTTTACCTCATTTTTAGACATCCTAGTATATTCTTGGTAAGAGCATTCAAGCTAGAACAAATGACCTCCCCAAAGCTGCAGGTCAAAATAGAGACAGTGTTTATGAATTACTATTACTATTATGAGTTACGGTATATTACTAACAGTAATATACTGAAAAACAGCTACACCTAGAACATACTAAAACCACCAACAAAAACGTGTTGATTTGTTTATTCAAGTGGAAACTTCTGCATCTCTTTCACGTTGACCAGTACTCCAAATCTGCTCATGCAACTGAGAACTCCTGGTAAAGCTTCAGTTGAGTTTTCACAAGCGTTTTGGTATATGGAAAAGTTTTACTTTGGGAGTTCTCAGTGAAGGAAAGCAACTCTTGCAATTAGATAGTAATTGGCACTTTTTAAAAATTGAAACCACTGTAATAGTAAAGAAGAGAAGATAGTTTGCAAGACAAGACCTCCATATTTCACAGCTCTCATCTAATGTTTTAGAAATGCCACCATTAAGGGCTGAAGCCAAGCTTACCTTTCCATTTATTATTGAATACTATAGCTAAAATTGCACCGATATATCTGAAGGATTACTAGTTTGCTGCTGAGATGACTTAAAGAAGTGTTCTGAAATGTTGATATCCTTTCTTTCAGCTTTTTCCTGGCTGAACTGGAAAAATGTCTTCAAGAACCTGACCGTTTAGCACAGCTTTTTATTAAGCATGTAAGTTTTATTTTGTTACCTATCTCTAGTATAATCGTTATTTAGGGTGTGATGACTCCTTTCTGAAAACACCTACTTGTGTCAACTTGATACTTTTACATGTCTAAACTTAATTTAAATGTAAAGTAGCCTTATAGTTGTGCATCTTCAGTGAGCAGCTGGATTGAACTAAAGCATTAATCATTGCCTTCTTCAGACTTCTTATTTGGGGGCAAAACTGGTGTGGCCAAGGACATCTGCCAACATATAATTATGGCAGGTAGTTGCCAACTGCTGTGATTGACATGTTCGTGTGATATTAGCTACAGCAGAACACTAGAGCAAATTTCAGACCCACCAGTTTGGGGATGACATCTCTAACTGGCTACCCCTATGGAAACCTCCCTTTGCCTAAGGTGCAGAAGTGGAGAACAGACCCAGTTATCAATTTACTTCCCTACTTCAGCAAACTACTAAGCCTTTGATTAACCTAAAAATAAGGAAGACCAAGCAGAACATCATAGCAACTTTCTGCCAACTTTTAATAGCGAGACAGAATGGTGGCCACTATCTCACCAGACTGCTGTGCATCTTGCTTTCACAGGAGCGGCGATTACACATGTATGTGGTATATTGCCAAAACAAGCCACGATCTGAATATATAGTAGCTGAGTATGAGGCATACTTTGAGGTAAGCATGGCTCATTGTACATTACTCGTTACTGCTACATACAACTGTGAGTCCTAGTCAAGTAGACTATTCTGTGACCTGTGGCATTTGTCTAAAACAAATTCTAGAAGATTCTTATAGTGCACATGATGCCTTAGTCTCTGCTACAAGGAAAAAAAGCTACTTCATTTATTTCAAATTCTCATGTTGTTAATTTCTAATAAAGATTTAATCCAGTACTAACTGTCTGTGGCCCTCAAAGTGCTGCAACTGCATTGATTTCTGTCCAAAATAAAATAAGACTTTTAAATCTGTAGTCTACAAACAGGGGAGGAGGTAAAAGTCGTTGGAGCTGGGTGGTGCCTCTCATAAATTCCCAATAACATTGTCTGTTTCAAGGGGTCTAGACACATTTAGATATTAGTGTGAAAGAAGCTTGTTTAACAAGGGAAAGATGTTTCATTTCACCCAAGGGCATGAGGCATGCACTGCAGGACTTGTTTGTGAGCTAATCCCCGCTGCAGTGGAAAGAGCCGTCTCCAGACCTTGCAGTCCTGCTTGGTCAGCTCAAAGGGGGAAGGGATCCTGTGCTTTCCAATGCCTTCCAGCTCGGTCATGACTTTTACCCAGTCCTTGCCTAAATAGGATACGCCAGATTTTTAAATCCTCTCAAATTCCCTCTTGCAAACAAAAGATTAAGAACAGACCAACTTTCTGTGGAAATAAGCCTCTGCCGAGACATTTTATCATGTTCTCTGTCTTACTCTGTGATTGTTTGCAATTGTTTTTAATCCTCGATTTTTAGGAGGTTCAACAGGAAATAAGCCAACGGCTAACCATCAGTGACTTTTTGATCAAACCCATTCAAAGAATAACTAAATATCAGCTTCTTCTCAAGGTGAGTGGAAGGATGCGGTTTGGACTAAACTGTAGTCTGCATCTTGCATTAGATGCTGTTATTTTAACTCAGCCTTAGTTTTAACTGAGGAATAACTTCATGAAATTAAGAGGGAAGAGGAGTCTGCTTATACTTGGGCATACAATGACAGAGTCCCCTGGAAAATATCCAGAGAGCAGGAGGGCCACATCTGTGGGATTAGTTTGCAATTGTTGATAATCAAAAGATTTATTTTTTTATTTAATATTGGAATTTTTTTATAGAAGACTAAACTTCAAATAGGAATTTTCTTCCTCTGAAGTTTCAGAGCAAACTTTCATTCAATTTTTTAAAACTGCAATAAAGATGCACAAGTGTGTTAATAAAGCCTGTCTTTGGTGCTGAACGGCATGCTTCTAGTAAATGCTATAGCCTCCATTTCTGAATATCTCTCTTCAAATTAGCATAAGAAACTTATTTCCAGAATATTCTGAAGTCTTAAAATTTGGGGAGCTCACCGCAATTTTTTTCCCAAGAAGTCTGACCACTCTGGTTTCTGCTGACTTATCCACAATGCCAATTACTCAGCATTTCTGAAAATTCATCCCTAGGGGTCTGAAGCTAATATCTAAAATTAGGCATGTCTGAACCCTACCCTGTAATCTCCAGCAGTACCGGGGCTCTGAGCTGGTTTCTTCTCTTTTTTGAACTAGTCTCAAGCAGGCTGCCATCACAGTTTGGTAATTGCACGCTAGCAAAGAGACAGCAGCGTGTTCCCTGAAATGCCAAAAGGAAAAGAAAAATCTTCAAGTGTGTGTGGTCTTGTGGCTTAAGACAGGGACCAAGTAAGCATTCCCAAGAGCTAATCCCAGCTTTGTCTTTTTCCTATGATGTTTTCAGCAACCATCCACACCCCTTTTCCGTATCTATAAAGTGGTTATAACATTCAGCAACCTCTGAGGATGAATTTATTAAATATTAGCAAGTTCCTTCTCAGAAGATCACATGCTTAATATGCTTATGCTTTTTCTTTTTCAAACTGGCATCTTTTGTCTTCTCTTTCTGAAATGCCTTAATGCAAACTTTTCTGCTTTCTCCAGGACTTCCTGAGGTATAGTGAAAAAGCTGGTCTGGAATGCTCTGATATAGAGGTACGTTTTCATGTCCTGGACAATAGTGCTATGTTAACTAATGGCACTTTATACAGAGGAAGGAAAACCCCAGTATTCCTTTGACAGTAGTTGAAGATCCTGCTGGTATTCTAAATGTGGTATTTCTCTTAGCTTAATTCAGAAGTAAAAGATGAAGGCACAGTCCTGCATTGTAGGTGCACCATCCTCTTTTAGACCTTACCATACATCTTCAGTGCATGAGGGCCTCACCATGAATAACTGCTAGCAGTGATCGCGCTATTGAAGTTCATTATTTGACACTTTGCTTTTAGGAACCCTCTGATTCTCTTGTAATAATACAACATCCTTTTTCCTTAACAGAAAGCAGTTGAATTAATGTGCCTTGTACCGAAACGTTGCAATGATATGATGAACCTGGGTCGCCTCCAAGGCTTTGAGGTATGCACTGGCTTTCTGCTTATAGTAACAACCAGGCGCGGAAAAGTATTTTATCTTTCTGTGATTGTCTGTACAATCTGCCCTACTCCAGGCTGTTCATCTAGTGCTTGTTCTTCTCCAATGCTGATCTGCATGCTTTGGTGAGGTTTCGAAGGTGGGGGGTGACATACTTCTCACTCTAAACTTGTGACAATCTATCTATTGTTTCTTCAAAATGTAAGGTCTGTAAAAGCTTCTGCAAGTTTGAATTACACTTCTTATAAAATAAGTGGTGAACCAGACTGCTTTGCCTGTTAGTAAGGTTACCTAGCATTAACATGTTAACAGCTCCCTCTGAGTTTGGCAACATCCAGGAGGGGATTTGTGAGTTATAACCCCACAGGTTACAGCTTGTGGTTTGTAACTAAGCCAATGTAGACTTTGGCAGTCCTGGAGAGATGTCTTATCTCCAAAATGAAGTCAAGGTTGTCTTACCATCTTATGCATTGTAGCATTCCTGCAAACAGGTAGGTCCTGGTTTTTTGCACCTTCAGAGGTATTGTGTCACTGCCTACTGGCTTAGGGGGTGTTGGAGAGCTCATGACTAGAGGGAATCCAAGGCACTACAATAACAAACTACATAATTGGAACGGTGGTTGAAATTAAGTACAAAGGACTTTACTTGAGTCCTCTTGCTTGTAGTTTTATAAGCACAATCAGTGGCAATGAGGACAAAGGAAACCGATGTTATTTTCCTTAAACTGAGCTCTTGATTTACAAGATTGCTGCTCTGATAACTTAGAGGGGATATGTCTCACATGAATTCAGTGCTTCTTGGAAAACTTGGACTGCACGAAACATAGAAGATCGTCTCGTGGGATCACGGTGGGTCGGGGTTTGTAATGTTGGTGCCTTGTCTGCTTCTCAGGGCAAGCTGACAGCTCAAGGCAAGCTGCTGCAGCAGGACACCTTCTACGTGACAGAGCAGGATTCTGGAGTTCAGTCTCGACCAAAGGAGCGTAGGGTATTTCTCTTCGAGCAAATAGTTATCTTCAGCGAACTCCTTAGAAAAGGATCTTTAACGCCAGGCTACATGTTCAAGAAAAGCATAAAGGTAAGAAATACAGAGGGAGAGGCATATTGTGTTTGATGGTCACGTAAGGAAATCTTACCAATTTTCTATACTGTGAGACTGAACCATTCTGTCATATGTGGACAACAATTTGCAGAAAACATTTGCATTTACCTGTCAGTGGATCAGAAGCCGTTTAAGACCGTCTCTAAATAAACTACTGGGCATCTAAATTTACTGGGTAATTTTTACAAGGAACAACGTGGGGGCAGGTCCTCTGTCATTCACAGTTCCAAGTTAACAAATATCACTAAAAAGCCTGCAGTAGAAGACAGAACTATTTCAAAAACAAAGAGAAACACACACAGTTCTAAAAATGCAGCTATGAGGAATTATAAAACCAGTTAAACTATAAAGAAAGTTTTAAGAAATTAATTTTGGTTTTAAATAATCTTTCCAGATTATGGGGCTGGGACTAAAAGTAAAAGCTGAAAGTAACCAGGGAAAATACTTATTTATTTGTTTGTTTAAGGGCTTTCATGCTTGTTTAAAAAATGCAAACTTAACCTTTGAAATGGTAAGTGAAGGTGAATGAGTGCTACCCCTTTCCTGCTAGAACAGCCTTTGCTGTGCCTGCAGAAAGAGCAAAGTCACCGGTTCCTTTGAATGTCGTGATCATTCAAAGCTGAGAAACCAGTCTGGGATTGATTTCCTTTTCAAAGATACAGCTTAAAAAAAGATGTGGGAGAATGCATTGTGTTTGCTCTAAATTTTGAATGGTACATTAATATGAAACAGCAGAGAACAATATCAGGTGAAATAATGCATATTAACCATGTATAACTAACAAATCTATGATAACTAGCATATTTACTGAAATGAGGGCATCTTCTTGGCTGACAGAAACTGCAGCATTTACTGAAAAGCCTATATCCATTTGCAAGTCAGTGTATTTCATAGTTTTCAACCAAATAATAAGCTATAAAGGAAAAAGCTGAAGTGTACAAATAAACAATCATCTTGATTTAGATATTCAGCTTTGATTTTATCTTATTGCTGATTTAAATTATTATTAAAGTTGGGGATGGAAATAACATGAATCATTTTTACTTCAGCTTATTGTATGTATAACAATGAGGCTTTTATCTGCAGGAAACAATTCCTGAATTGTATATTGTAGATAAAGAGAGAAAAATAAATCTCTCCTAATGTCAATAAAATTAGCTTGCCTCAAGGGTATGAGTTGCTTTTCTAGTTAAACAGCCTATGAAAGTAATGCTGTTCCCACTGCCTGAGTTTAAAATTTTTGTGTGATAATTTTCCAGTCTCTCTTTTCTTCCATTTGGCAAACAGCTCATTCTCCTGTTGAGTGCCTACAGCAAGTGTGGGATCCCCCGTGGCTCCATGTGTATCTCTCCCACCACAGCATGGAGTCTGTGTGCCAGCAGCTCTCACACCCTCCCTCCCAGCCCCTGCTTCAGCTTCTGGCTGCTTTTGCATTTCTCTCATGCTTTCCCACAGAGATGAGCTGTGGCCCACAGTGGAGCAGGACCATTCCCTATAGCAGGACCATTCCCCACCTCTCTGTGCTACAGGCATCCTCACCTTGCAGTGGAGCCTCAACCTGAGCTGGGTTATTCCCTGGTGAGAGGCACTTTGTCCAAAAGTAGCACATAAACTGGCTGCCTCATCACCTGTCTTTCATAACCCTGCCCTAAAAGTGGGCATCCAGAAATTGCATCTGGTCTGAGTTCATGAGCCAGAGTTTGAGGAGGCTTTACGCTGTCAGCTAGGACCAAGCTTCTTTGACCTTGGTTCGAGTGCTGATAAGATCCTGCTGGGCAGGTTGAACCCATCTTTACAGCAGTTGCCAGGACTGACTAGCTCTCTTTGGCTAGCTTTGATACCATGTGCAGTCATGGTTGTCCGGTTCTCTGGAAGACACTCCCTGAGAGATGTTGGCTGTTTCCCTGATGGTCACATCCTCCTACACAGCAGAAGGACCTAGCCAGCATCGGAGATCCCATTTCTTTGTGTCACAGCCACTGCTGAGCACTGAGGTCTCTCTGTTAAGAGTAAGAAGTGCATATGACTTCAAATGCAGCCGTTGTGGTCTGTCAGGGAGATGAGGCTCCCAAATAGTTTTCTCCAAGATCTGTCACACTCAAACTGTCATAGAAGCTTCAGCACGATGTCCTACATTAGCAAAGAACCTTTCTTAGGCAGTGAGGTAGTTAGCGTTCAGAAATTGCACATCCCTTCTTGGATACTTCTCAGCTGGATACCTTTCAGACTCTCAAAATACCTAAGTGGATAGCCTTGGCAAATGCATCTCCCTGAGACACAAATAGGAGGTTAGGGACTCTGACCTACAAGTCTTTTTCCTGCAGTCATACCAGGATTGACTTGCTTGCTTTGGCTATCAGCCAGAGGAGCAAGAGCTCAGAACAAGAGGAGGAGCACTGTCCAGGCTCACTATCTGTCCCTTTCCTTGTCCCCATGTCAGAGGAGTTCCTGCATGTCCCTCTAACTTCACAGGGACCCCCAGAAGAGAAGGAAGAGGCTCCTTCCTTCTTGCAGTTTGAATGCTGGACGGTATTTAGATGTGGAATGGATCTCTCCATACCTTGACAGTTATTCAGAGCAATTGGAGATAGACATCTTCTAGAGAGGCATTATTGCCTTAGTCTTCAGAGCTGTCTACTTTTGACATGAAGACTCTCTCTCTCTCTCTTTTTTTGAAAGGCTATGCCAACCTATTCTTGTTTACTATCGTAGCTATAAGTAGCTCAGGAAAAGTTAAAGTTATGGGTACACTTACACAGAAGCCTCAGAAGGTCAGGACAGCAGCCGAAATTGCCATCCATGCGATTTCCAGAAAGAGTATCTGTTACTACAGTCAAGTGAAGTGATTGCACACAGATGACTGTAATCTGCTAGAAATAAGAAGATCTGTTGGAGCATCAGGGGAGAATGCTCTTTTTTTTTGGTATATCCCTGTGCACAGTCCATTCCATTTCTAAAATACTCTGATGACTGAGACTTTCTTTCCCATGGAGGATAAGAAATATAAACACTTACTTAAATTGGAGGAATGATAGACTTCATTAACATCTTAATAGGAACATTTTAACTCTATTTACGGGTTACAATAAATTTTTAGCACATCAGTCAGGTCTATGTTACCTTAAAATAGAAGTTGTAATTCAAGACTAGGCAGGCAGATGTCTGGTGCATCTGTCAGAGCTTTATTAAGCATCATATTTAAGCTTAAGATTTGTCTGCCTAAATCTAGATGAGGCAAATTCTTCTGATTGTGATCTGACAGTCTGTTATTGGATTCAATAATTTCCAGGAACTTTTCACAAAGATTTTATTCTGGATCTTGAGTAATGTTAACTCATGCTCCATGTAACACATGCTTACCTTGGCTTGTTTCAGATGAACTACCTTATCATTGAAGAAAACGTGGACAATGATCCCTGCAAGTTTGCTCTAATGAGCCGGGAAACATCAGAGAGAGTAATTTTACAGGCAGCTAATCCAGAAATTCAACAAGCTTGGGTACAGGACATCAACCAGGTCCTGGACACGCAAAGAGACTTCCTAAATGGTATGTACATGGTCTTCACTCTGTTTCCCAAACTGTGACACTAAATGGGTTTTAGAATATTTCTGTCTTTGTTCCCTTTATGAAAAAACATTCAGCAACTTCTTTTCATAAGGAAAATCCTGAGGACAAAACTAGAGCCCAGTCTGCCTGTCATTAAGCACTGGGTCAAGTGGTATCCACAGACTACATGGGAAAGAGTCCTTATAATTTACAGCTGGTCTTTGAAAAGAGACCACCTCAGTGCCACTTTACAGAGGTCTCTGTCCTGCCTGCCAGGTCTGCCTGGTGGGAAGGTGAGGAATGGGAGAAGAACCAGGCAAGCCTGATCTGAACTGCTCTGTGGCCCTGGAACCCATCCTGAGAAGCCACTGGAGCCCCATCTTGCGTTAAAGACTGCAGGTCATGCTGGCCTGGCTCCATTAGCAGCATCTCATGGACTGGTTTTGGCAGCCTACTGCCTTCCTGCTTAACCAGGTGGTGGGTCCCTGCACAGTTGCCGTGCGTATATCAGTTAGGTTCATGTTCAGGTCTCAAGTCCCTCCATCACTGATGTGCCTTTGGTGGTACTTCTGTGCAAGATCCTTTAAAAATGCTGGGGTTTGCAGGGCTGTATCGCCTGGTGCTTTCCATTTGACAGGGAGACTTTAAATCTAATCCCTTCCCAAGACCGTGTCAAAGCCACATTGCCGTTGTATCTACACAGTATCTCCCACTTACTCAGAGCGAGGCTTATCCACAAGAACCTCCTATTCAACATCACCGTGTGCTACAAGCTGAGGACATGAGGTGGGACAAAGGCTGCCTCGCCATCCACCCTCTTACAGGTCCAAACTCTGCGGGGCAGCAGCTGCTTTCAACCAAAACCAAAAGAGAGGGCAAGGAAACATCTGGGCTTGTTTCTCCTAGGAACCATGGGAGGTGTGCATGAACAGGGGCCTTTCCAAAATGTCAGTTTTGCTTTAGGAACAGATTTGGGGTGGTTCGAAATAATATTTCAAATTAAAGCTGTGTTTCTAAAAAAAACAGACAAACACACACACGATCAACAGAAGTGTGTATTTTGAAAATATAGAGGAATCAAAATCAGTTAACAATTTTGGCTTGTTCTTGCTCATGACTGGATGAGGGGAAGCAAAGGAACCAGGACTAGAGGCAAAATCTAAAAATAGTATCTCTCTTGTTTGTTTGGAAGCAACAAAGTGGGAATCATTTCTTTGGATGCTTCCAAAATTGTTTTGCACTATTCATTTCAAAACAGCTTTTTTTTATGGGGCTTATATTAGAAAAGAGTTCTATATTTAAAGACTTAATATATGCTCAATAATGAAACTTATTTGCTTGAATCAAAATGTTTTGGCTTGGCACAGTCTGTTAGCTTTTTTGATTTTCGGGTTTTGGCATTTGGTTTTGTGGATTTTTTTGCTGCAAAATCTGAAGAGGCTCTTTCAGTTCACATCAAAACAAAGGTTCCCTTTTCTTCAACGTGGAGGTTTTTAAAATTTTGATTTAGCTTAATTTTACTTTTCAGAAGTTAACTGGGAAAGGGTTACATGCAAAAGCTGTTAGTGACATTTCAGAAACTATGGCTGAGCTGAGAAAGGAAACAGTGTTTCACCTGTGATTCCAAAACTTGATATTGAGTTTTCATGACTTGGAATAGAAAGGGCCTCATACAACCACAGTAAAATGATTCCTTAAATACATTGGTGAGGTGAGTAGTCTAAGTTCTCCAGTTTGACCAGTTGGTACCAAAACTTGCCAGTTTTCTGTCTGTGCAGTTGGCTTTGAATGAGGGATTATTGGAATATAAGTAAGTTCTACCAAAGGTTGGCTGCAGAAATTTTTTTTTTAACCTTGTGAGAACTCCACAGTGAGAACTCCACAGAGACTACTGCAGGGGTTTTCTGTCCCTTCCACATCTTTCTTACTCATTGTTTTATTTTTGATGTGTTCACTCTTATCCTCTAAACACTTGCTGCCCTCTGAGCCCCTTTTTCTACTGAAGCATCTTCACAGCCCCTATTTAGCCTATCTTCTGTGAGGCCAGCAAGGAATTTGATGGGTTAGGAACATAATCGTCAGTATCTCTGAAGCTAGAGGTAAAAATAGATTTATATTAAAACACAGGCTTAAGGATTTACTTTAAACCTATAAATAAGATCCAAGAAAATGGTATTGTATCCAGTAGAGCCTGTCCAGTCCAGAACAATTTAAGTGGCTTTTAGGATGTAATCTTATTGAGGCTGACTAATCTTTAAATATGTTCTTTAGCTTTGCATTTCATTAAAGTGGATGTTTTCTGTCTTTAAAATAATATTAAATCCACACTGAGCCAATGCTGCGTAAACTTAATAACAAAATATTCCCTGGGAGTTCTTGCCCAAGCTGTCTCTGATTTTCTGTCTTCAGCAGGGAAGCCCTGAAGAGTATGGGGCTATGTACAGAGCATAGTATTTGCATTCACAGTTCAGAAATGTAAAACTTGTTGCAATTACACTGTAATATTCAAGCTTTTTATATTTTTCCTTGGAAAAGCAAAAGCTGCTAAGCTTGAGAAACAGACTGTGCACGAGATGATTGGCTATAGTGACCGTTCTTTCATTTTGCTTTAGCAAGCAAGCTGCATAGAAAATATGTCATTGATGGATATTTTTCATAAGCAAAATGCCATTGATCTATACCTTTTTTTAATCGTGTTTTGTGACATTTTTGAGAGAGAAAGAGAGAGCACGCAAGTACATGGACACTGATTTTTGCCAGTAGCTCATAAGAATACTAACAGATGTTGAACAGGAGGCTGGAAGCCAGGCATCACTGTGATAGTTAATGGTGGAATTAGTAGTCACAAGTGGACACTCAACTAAATACCCTTTAAAAGCACTGAGTAGGATAGATTGTTTTGAGACAGATTGATAAGTATTCATTCAGATCTTACTGCTAAAGACCTTGCAGCTTAATCTACTGTATATACTAGAAAAAGGTCACCATCACTGTCAAAATCATTGTCAAAGTTCTCCCCAACCTTCTTTGTCCTCTATGGCTGATCTGCAGCTGGACCAAAGCATTTTCCACTGCAGTTGAGGTAAGCGAGTGAAACTGGTAGTCACTGTGGCATAAATATGAAGCACTGTTGTGACAAGGGTCACTGCGTAGGTTTTGGAGCCAAATAATCTTCCAGATTGCTACAGGTCTATGTTTGTGTCCTTTTGAAGAAAATGGTGATCTGGCATCCTCCTTAACTTTTTTTTTTTTTTTTAAGTCTCTTTTTCTATAGTATTAAGTGATTTCTTGTTGGAGTAGTCTTGCCTTTCTCTGGAAGAGGAATGCTAGAGATTATGCTCTGTGGTGCTGAGCCTTTCTGTTTTTCTTTCCTTTCCTCTTGTTGGGAAAGACATTCCTTCTGTTGTGGTTCCCTGGTTGGGCTGATGCTATGACATTATGTCCTCTGTCTGCCTCTTGCTAGACTAGTCTCTCTGCATTCCAGTACGTTTAGTCTGGTGCATGTATACAGTATTAACTGACTGTAAATCATCCATTAAAGCCACATGACATGCAAAAAACCAAACCCATAGGTCTGGGGATGGTAGTCTGAGCCTAGCAAATCTGTTTCTTTCCCATTCACTGTGAGTCCCAGCCCTGATCCCTTTTCCTCCAAACATAACAAATTCTTTATTTCTTTACCATCTGGCATTTTTATCCTTCCTTTTCCCAGTGTGAGCTCTCTCCATGACTATGAAATGTACACTCTCACAAGCAGACTTTTTTTGAGGCTTATGAAGCTGTTTAATGTTGCTTGTGGGTGTTTTCTGGAGAGGTCTGGACTGCTGGGATTAATGTCTTTATGCCATCTATACTTCCTCACTTGCTGGTCATTTCCAGCAGTTTCCTGGAACCAAAGTAGTTACTACAGAAAGCACAGAGAGAGCCGAGTTGCAGTGCATCACGTCTGAAGAGTATTTAGTAGTCACACTCTCTTGGGAATATGCAAATGAGACTTATGGGTCTTGACCTGTGTTTTTTGATGATAGCAAAATTCACTGTAAATGAACTCTGCATCTCTTATTCAGGCTTTCATTTATTTTGGCTACAGGATGCAATTAATTTGTGCAATTTCAAACAAATGAATGCAATCATGTATGCTATAAATGGCAAATATTTTAGCCCACTGTTTTGGTTAGAGCAGCTGTTCTTCACAGTAGCATGGAGTGTTGTGTTCAGTTCACGTGCAGCGCAGTGTAACATGCTTGCGTCCTGTCTAGCCATGAACATGCTGCGTGCTTCCATGGGTGGCATCTTCTGTTCCCGTTTGGTGTGCAACTTATGTGTACGCTCCGATTGAATCACCCCACACACTCTCTGCATCCCTTTGCAACACCATTGAAAGCATATAGCTAATTCTCGTCCTCTTTTGCAGCGCTACAGTCTCCTATAGAGTACCAACGCAAAGAAAGTAGCTCAGCAGTGCTGAGGCCCCAGACCGGTAGGGTCCCTCAGCCCAACAGCAGACCCTATTCTTCTGTTCCAGTAGGGTCTGAGAAGCCTTTGAAGGCTACAAGCCGTAACCCATCTCTCCCACCCCTGAAGATATCTACCTCCAACGGCAGCACAGGGTATGAACACTCACAGCCCGGAGACAAGTATGAACAAAGCAAGGTACTGAGCTCATCTGATAAAGCATGATCTCATAGCCCATTTCTTATACCATAGACAATCTGTGAAGTTAGCTTTAATTATCAGCTAACCAGGTCAACAGGGATCAACATACTGAAGCAATGGTGTAAAATGTGATTTGGGATTAAACAGAGACTGTGAAAGCTCAGGCATCCAGATGGGTGGCACTTCAGCTGGGAAATGGAGGCAGAGCCTGACCCTGGAGGCTGGAGCACTGATCCCAGAGTTTTTCAGGACTCTGTGTTTGCAGACCTGGTGAACTGAATATCCATTTGCAGTACTGGCAGCAGCAATATTCAGGCTTCTCTAATATCCATTAACCACCCATTCCTGAAGAGGTCTACTCTGACAGCATAGAAGAGTTTAGACCTTTTCCCACATAACAGCTCGCAGGGTGCCAGTTGAAGGATATAATTTGGGTGCATGTGCCCTGCACACAAACCACCAGAGTCAGTAACCAGCAGTGTTTGGACCCTGCTGCTGGCTGTGGTTGACCAAAGCCACTTTCCAATATGACCTATATTTAAGATCATGAGATGTGTGAGTGTTCATTTGGCTTCTAACATTGAGCCTTCATTGGTCTTTCCCCCATTTGGCTCAGAGCAGATCGTTCATCTGTAAAACCACACAAATGAGAACGTGGCTGGGGCACCGTCGCTAGCAGCTGTGAAATCTAATATGAAATAGGAGGCTGGTTTGTATCAGATTACTGCTGCCTTTCAGAACCTTAAAATCCCTTTCTACCAATGTGAACTTTAAGTGTTCTGTATCTTTTTCCCTGGTACAGTTAGGCTGGAAATGAACTAGTGGGATTGCTGCTGGAAAAGGCAGGTTCCTCAGCACCGCCTGCTCACCGGTTTCTGTTGTGTCCGTTTTCACAGACTGATTTGGGAGGGTGCAATGGGACCTCTTCCATGGTCGTGATTAAAGATTACTATGCACTGAAGGAGGATGAGATCTGTGTGAATCAAGGAGAGGTGGTTCAGATCCTTGCTATCAACCAGCAGAACATGTTCCTGGTGTACCAGCCTGCAAATGACCACTCTCCAGCCGCTGAAGGATGGATCCCCGGCAATATCTTGGCTCCCCTCACTAAATCCACTACAGATAATAGCGACGGAAGCATCAAGTAAGTGCCATGTTGGCTTCGCTGGGAGCACTGTGTGGATTTTTTGAGGAAAAAATAAATAAATAAATAAACAAACCCAAATGGTAGGGAATTCCTGCTGATTTTTATCTACAGTGCCATTGGAACAAGCTGAGTGGTCAATCCGCAGCGTCGGGCAGCCATGGTGGATAGCTTGGGTTTTGCTTATTTTCACTTTGTGGGGTTTTGTTTATCCTTTGGAGAGAAATAAAACCATAGATGGTTAAAGATATGTTTTACGTTACACCATTTTACACCAACATGGACCTGCTTGGACTGGACTTATATTTATGTTGTATTAAGTTACTAATCTATATATTGGTTATAACAGCATCTAGCAAAAAAAAAAAAAAAACCCACAAAAAATCCAGGCCCCGTGTTGGACTGAGGTTTGCTTCTCAAGGAGGAGAGATTTTGTTGTCTATGGCAATTTCCTTGTACAGCTTGTATCTTTTTTTTATTTTGGTTTGGTTTGGTTTTTTTTTCTGTTCGCAGTAACTTTTGTAATATATTTTTTGGTTTGCAAGACCCCCATCCAAGTACATTCCTGTATAAAGTATTTTGCACTATTTAAGAAAAAAAGGAAAAAGAAACAAACTCATATTGATGAAGTCAGGTTGTGCAATATAATGGATAGTCGCAATGTTCATCATTGTACCTGTAATGTAACTAATTTTAAATGTACTATTTTAAATATGTAAAATAAATTTTCACCATGAGCATGTTTTAATGAGGTAAAAGAACTAGTTTGACCCTTTTTTTGGTTTTGTTTTGGTTTGGTTTTTTTTGTTTATAACATTTTGTTGCTTATTTAACAAATGTGTGGATATATATTTTTCTTTTCTGATTTTTAGAAATTTGTCAGTCTGAAATGACTAATGCAAGAAAGTGTTTTTTTGGTATTAAATACAGAAGGTACAACCCTCTTTTCAGTAATACCTGTTGATTTCTTTTAACATCTAAAATGACTAGATGGTAATGCCTGATGTATGCTACAAATTGTGTTACCTTACATGAGTACCTCAAGGCACAGAATTGAACACGAGGAAAGATTTTGTGACAGATTCACTAAAAACAATAATTTGATCTTTGCTGCAGTTTGTTAGGAGAAATGACGACTTTACCTGTCAGTCAGTAAGGAATGCTACTATGAATTGCACGTCTCTTGCACATCTGCCACAGCCATTCCCGCGTTCCTCTCTAACCACAGTATGCAACCACGTGCCCTTAGATTCATCCACGGCACCAGGCTCCTGGTGAAGATTCCGATTTTGTGGCAGCTGTACAGTCAAATTCAGAGTCCAATTATGTAGTCGGATGAGTTGTGCTCAGGAAGGCATAACAAAATGGAAAGACACATGCGTCACCCCTCTCTCTTTCTCACTGCAGTGAGATTTAAAATCTTAAATCATGTTTTCAGACTCAAACAGCTAAAACAACTCTGAAACCAAAAAGAGGCTTGAATAATAGAAGTCCTATGGGTAAAAAATGACCTGGAGCTGGTGTTACCTTTAGCCCTGTCTAGTCTGCCAGATCGTATTGACTAATTAGTATAAGTAATAAAACTGTTTCTTCTGTTGACAAATACTGTACACAAAATATGTGGTCTATCCAGTAGTGTTGGCACCATGTATTATTCACTGATAGGTCAGGGAGTCCATCAGCCACGTCCTTGACTCTTACCATATCTTAAAGGAAAATGTAACAGTCCTGAAGTGGTGGATAACTTCTGCTCTGCACATCTAATTTGGACCTCCTCCAGAAACGCCCAAGTATCAGACAGCATTCACTGTCTGGCTGAGATGTGCAGGGTGCTTTGGTGCTCCTTGTGCTCGAACATGACTGGCCGTGCCAGCTGTTTGCAGTGGAGACACTAATCCTCATTGCAAAACAGTCGATATGACCCACTTCAATCTTTTGTCAGTGGCAGCCAGCTGTTGGGAGGCTGTTAGATTACTTTTTTAAAATTTGAGCTATTGTACAACTCCCATCAGGTGCTGAAGTATAGCCAAAAACCACTTAGGAATCAGACGCAGTGTTCATGGGGGAGCGTCGGCTGTGTGGGGCATCCTTGGAGTCCTACCTTGCTAACATACTGCGTTTTATTGGCATCGCAGGTGATCGTTGGATTACATGCAACTTGCTTTGTAAAATGTATCAAGGTACTGTAGACATGACATGTGCCAACCATTGGGCTTAAACATGCAAATCAAATTTGCATGACTTAAAGGTGGGCAGATGCTTTGAACCTGGATCCCAGCTCATCACACTGCTGTTTTGAGAGCTTTCTGCTTGGACAACATACCCCTTCCCAAATACCCCCCTAACCTGTCCCCTATTTAAACCAAATGAAATCCATATTAAGAACTCTTTTGTTTTTTCTTAATTTTTTATGTCTGCTTTGATGTGCAATTTCTGTTGTCAACACAGCATTGCTCTTACAAAGGGTGACATGGTCTATTTTTTTTTTCCAAGAGTAAGGTCATAGGAACAGTAATGAGGGGTGAAAAATGTACTGGAAATCCTGCCTGCTGTGGTGCTGGCCAAAAACCATGAACTGACTGATGTCCTCTCTAACCGGATTGGCAAAATCAAATGGGAAATTCTTGGTCTTGAGAGGCACAGCATTCTAGGAAATCACTTATCTCTTGGAAAGTTAATGATGTAGCTCCTATTTGTTGAGCTATTCATGTTCTGAGCAACATGTAGGGAGCAACACCTTGAATTTCTTAAATTTTTTTAATTTGCTTTACTGAGTAATCTCTTAAGACTGTTCTCCTGTATTTACATTTGTTTCAGTGCTTTTAACCAACAAGACTGAGGGCTGAATTGACCTTTTAACTGTAGCAAAAATAAAATCAATTTCTATTTGTGGCAATGCAAGACGAAGTCCCTGAAACCAGATGACCAAGTTCTAGTTGCCTGCTTCCATCATGGGCATTTTTTCCGTGCTCCATGCATTTAAACAGCAAGTGTGGCACAACATCTGCTTCGCAGAACTGTTTGGTTTGGTTTTTAACTTCAACTCTCATTGCTCAGATTGAGATAGGCATATTGCCAGTGGCTTTCACCTTCTAGGGAATTGCAGTAATCGCAAATGTGGATGCTGGTTCCCCTTTCCAAATCCTTCCTTCCTGCTATGATTTGCCATTTGATTGCTGCGTTTTTTGGTACAACAGGAAGTCATGTTCATGGCATACCCTGCGCATGAGAAAGCGGGCGGAAAAGGAGAGCAGTGGCAAAAATGAAGCCAATGGGCCACGTAAATCCAAGGATATTCTGGGGAACAAAGTCTCTGTTAAAGTGAGTAAGGCCATCTGAAAGCTGTGTGCTGCTCTCCTGCTTCCCATCCTTTTCACCCCCTATAGCATCCTCTCCTGTGAGAGGGAGGGGGCGGTGATTTTGGGTTGGTTTTTTGTTTTTTTGTTGGTTTTTTTTTTCCACTTCAGTTATCTTTTTTTTTTTTCTTTTTTTTTTTTGTAGTATCCATTTTAGCAGGATTTTTGCATGCAAGATAAAATGCAGCCTTTGTTTTTTGTTTTCTTTTTTGTGGCATCCCACACACAAGTAAGTAATCTTCATTAAAAAAACAACTATGTATATGGTTAAATAACTGTTCTTAAAATTGGGACAATAGTGATTTACTGACCTCTGACCTAGCCCAATCTGCGGCTCCATCAGAGCAGCTGCAGTGGTGAGAAAGCCACTGGGTGAACCAATGGCCTTGCTGAAGTTGATGAGTTTTCTTTAAGCCAGCATTTCACCACATCTTAAGATAAGGGGTTCTCAACCTTGAGATGCTTAAGAGTTTTGGTCTGGGGAGATGGTCTCAATGACCTTTTTCTTTCCATTTTATCAGACAGGGCAGAGATGCTGACTCTGTCTTGCCAGGAGAGGGTCTTGTGTGTGTGTGTGTGTCTGTGTCTGTGTGTCTGTGTCTGTCTCTCTCTCTCTGAGATCTCCCAGTATGGAAAAGGTTGAGAACTGTGGGGTTAAGCTCCATCTTCTGCTCTGGGTGCCTGACCACTGTGCTCCAATTCAGAGGATCCATCCCTATAAACCGACCATGAGGCCTGCTCAGGACTAATCTGGGGCTTTCCCTCCCAACAGAGGCAAGAAAACACTTGTGATTTTGACACAACCAAAGCCCAGCCTTGATTCAGGAAAGCACTTAGCATGTCCTTTGGATCCACCCCTCTCCAGGAGAGCCCATGATTAAGTGTTTTCCTTTGCGGAGGCTTTCCGTCTTGTGAGCCTAGTGAAATAGCCATGGCATGTGCAAAGGGAGGAACCCTGCCACTGCAACCCGGCCGTCCCTCGCACCCACTGCCCAGCCAGCCGGCAGCCCTGCAGTCAGCCGGGGAGGGTCTGGGCCCGAGGGAAGCGGTTGCTCCAGCATGGTGGCCACAGTTCTTCCTCCTGTTGCTTCCTCTCTGGTTTTACGACCTGAACGACTCGCAGAATCACGGCTTCTTCTTTGGCAAAAGCATGTCTTTGCCTTTGCTTCCCTTGTTCTGTTTGTCGGTTTGGGTTTTGTTTGGGTTTTTAAGAGCATTTTCTGTAGTGTTACCCATTTCCATGCTGCTCACAATTCCTGTGCTGCTCTGCCCTGTCTAACCAATCTCTCTTCTAATTTCTTGTTCTCTTTCTTCCTCTTCATGCTGCCAAACAAGGAGACAAACAGCTCAGAGGAATCAGAGTGTGATGACCTTGACCCCAATACTAGCATGGAGGTAGAGACAATCATCCTTGTGATTTTTTATTTTTTTTTTCCAAGAACATGTGCCTGTTTTGAAAAGCCTTTGCTGAAAGGGGAGCTGGTGGGTCTGTATCACTCGTGGACATATGTGCCAATTAAGTGTGACTCACACAAAGTGCCAATTCTGGTTTTGCCAAGCGTTGAACTGGAGTTTGGGCTGCCTTTGTGGTGGGAGCAGTGGAGGAAGCTGAGGAACAAGCTCCTGCTGAGCTGGAGGCTCACATAGCCACCCTCAATTGCTGTTTCCCACCTGGGACCTCATTCAATGAAACAATAATGCATGCATGTCAACTGCCCATAAATGTAGCAGCTTTCTATATTAAAAACACCCCTTGCCCTGGCAATACATGCTGAGCTGCTAGTCAAACTTGTGTTATAAATCACCGGAGCAAATGTTGTTGCGCCACAACTAGTGCTTTAAATTATCTAGAGGATCAGAAAAGATAAAGTTTCTTTTTTCTCCTAGCAGAGTGGGAAACTGCATTTCTGTAAAGGTACTGAAGAAGAATGGTAAAACTGGTTGCGTGCACGTACCCGTATCACAGACAAGGCTGATGCAGATAGAGGGACCTAAGTTACAATCCATTACACTACTCTTTTTCCAGTGTGAAGCCACCGGTTCTAGTGGAGTGACCGAGACATGCCTTGTTGAGAGAGCCCGAAAGAGCTTAAAATCATAAAGAGTTATATATCTGGTTCTCCTCAGTTAATATCTTGCAGGACCCATTTTTTCTGTGTATAGTGACCAAGCATTTGTATACATTGTACCAAGGCTGAAAGACCTTCCTACCGAAACAGGCAAAGACAAGGTTCAGAGAGACATACGTGATTTTGTAGGGATGATGGGGCAGGTCATTGGAGAACAGGGATATCTGTGTCCTAGGAGATATCCAAGATGCTGTTAGCCAGGCTGCACTATAAACATCCTGCAAAAGAAAGCTGATCTTCTTCCTGGAGGGAATAAATAGTGGGAGAAGTGTATTGAGATGCAGCACCTCAGCTATTAACCTGAAGGCTCTCTTTTATTTTAATTGTGTTGGTGCACAGAAACACATCTTTGAGAAGGGAACGTGTACTAAAGGAAAGTTTTTGACCCAGCTGACATCCTGGAGTTTGAATAGTTCTTACCACTAAAGCTGCATTACTCTCAGGAGTGTGTTTGCATTTTCAAAGAGCATTTTGCCAGTCACAGGTAACAACTAGAAGTATACGTATTTGTTACAAGGCAGTGCCCAGTTATTGCACGTAAGTCTGTGTAAGCTTTAGATCACTGAAAATTGCCCTGTGGAGTAAAAGGTGGCTGAGATACAGATGTATGGTACAGAGCTGGGTGAGAATTGCCATTCTTTTTTCAGAGGATTTCTGTGTTTTGAGTTTGCTCAATAGGAGGAAAACCAGATGTTTCAAAATTGTCAGTGGAAGGTATCTGAGTCCTTACGCTGTCAGCATTTCTAGTTAGTTATAGCATACTCTACGTGGGTCTTTTTATTTGATTTGGGTTTTTTACCATGGTACAGTCTACAGTTCTTGCCTGCCTCTCTGAAGTTTAGGAGATAAGAGCCTTTTTGGTTAAACCAAAAGACACTGATGTGAAGTCTTAGCTATGGTATGAATCTGCTGTTGGGGGAGTAACTGTGTGCCTGGTATGTGACTTGATTTACTCTCAGAAATGCCATGCTGCATCTCCCAGGTCACTTACTGGAGGTGACAGTGTCCGTGCACTGCAGTCCTGAGGAGCCACAAGGTTCCTCATGGCTTGGAAAGCTCAAGTCTGCTTCTCAGCAAAACTCTTTGGGGCTGAGCAAATGTTTAAAATGGCAGAGCAAGAGAAAACCAGAGTGCAGTTGTGGGGGTGACTTACTAAGGTCAGACTGCCCTGCAAGGAGCAGCATGGCCCTCACTTTGTGCTGGTTTTAGTACATCTGCAGCCTGGAGTGAGTGTGGTCAGCTCGTTGGTCCAGCTAAGAAATATTGGGGGGGGGGGGGTTGCCGATACCCCCAAAAAACTAAACAAAATCATCCAGAGGGAGCAGAGCAAGGGCAGGCTCAGAAAATGCTCATGAAGCCCTAGAAGAGGCCATGGGGAAGTCTAGTCTGTAAAGGTCTGGGGTATGCACTACTGGAAGCCACAGTTGTTCTCCCTTTCCCTTCATTATGAGTGCTTTTGATGGTCCTTTTCAAACGTGTTATGAGAAATGAACTTTATTAAGGCCTTGGGAGCTGAAGTCTTTTCTCATTAAAACAGAGGCAAGGCAAGCTACTTCCACCACCAGAGCCTGGTCCAGGGCTTCATCGGTCTTTTAGGCTTTGTGTTCTAAGCTTCAATAATTGTTCAACAGCTGTGCTACCTCTCCATCCCAACCTGTGTGTGCAGTGAAAATCAGCATCTCACCTGGTTTTCCTTTCCTTACTCTGCATGGTACGTCCCAGCAGAGCCGCTGGCAAGCTCCCAGGGGAGCTGGAGACAGTGTGACTGGCTGCCGGAGGAGGGGGAAGACCTTGTCCTCACACCTGGCTCAGCTCATGATGGATTTTATAGACGCTGGGCGTTCTGGTAGGAGAGCTGTGTCCTGGCCATCACCATTCAGAGGTGCATGAGGCCCTACCTGTGTCATTAAGGTGGAGTTGTCTATAGCTATTATTACAGCCAGGTAATAACAGGGCAAGTCACCTGGCTTCTCTTATAGGACTGTCACCCCTGACGTCCTTCTTCCTCCCGTCGTGCATGAGAACGTGCACCCAGTGCTGGAATAGAGAGCAGTCTCTAAATGCAAAGCAGACATACTAATTACTTGGAAATGTCGGTGCAATTTACCTCCAGCCTACTCAGTGCGCAAGAAGTTGGTAAGCTGGTCGTAGTATCCATGAAGTCCCACAGCTATTGTCATCTTTCAGATCTAGCTTTGCTTGCTATTTATAAAATACCACATATCTCTCTTCAGCAGATTCCAGATTTCTGAAGCACTTTGCCTTTGTTTCAAGGGGAAGGATAGACAGAAAGAAATTTGGAGAACATACATAGGGAGAGCAGAAAAGTGGAATTCTGGGTGACTGTTTAAAAGAGCTGAAATGTCATTACTGTGTTTTTGCCCACACAGGGTCACGCTGGCCCTGGAGAACTTTCCATTCATTGTTACTTTGATAGAAATAGTATCTCTTGGTGGCTGCTTCTTTTCTCTTTGTTTATTAATACGTAATGAAAGTGCATAGGGATGGAAATGAAATTTGGGGTCTTTTTCCCTAGTTTTCTGCTTTGTGCTGTTGTTTCACAAAACAGAAGGTGCAAACTCACTTGTTAGGCACAAGGAGCAGGTACTTAAGGAACATGTGTAGCCACGTGAGGGATAGGAGTAACCTATATTTAAGAAAGATCAGAGACTCCCTTTCCACATGTCTGTAGCTAATTGCACAGGGACAGGCAACTCCACTTCTGGGAAGAAGGTGTATGCCCTTGTGAATCAGTAAATATCATCCACACCCAAGTCTGGGGTCCTGGACAATGACACAACTAATTGTCCTACAATTCTGTGTCGTAATGTCTCATGGGGTTTCGATATTGCTGAAAGGGTCATAAGTCAACTGTGCAGATCCCATTGGGCTACCTCTCGTCTAAGTGAATGTCCTTCCAGCAGTCAGAAGACCTGACTGAGCTAAACCTCACTAAATTCAGAGCAGCTCTTCCAGGCTTTGGGGTGGACCTCACGTGTAGGGATCTGACATAGCTCCAGATGTCTTGTTTTGCACAGCGCGACTCCGACTGCAGTGCATTACAAGTAATCCTGAACAACACACAACTGTCAACGAGCGTCTAATGTTTGTTCCAGTTTCTTAGCTGTGCAAAGGAGAGATGAAATCCAGGCCCACCCCAAGCCAGTGGAAGTGCCATCATTAGATTAATGAGCTGGGCTATTGCCAAGGTACGTAAGTTGGGCTTCGTAATCTATTTTTTTCAGTTATGACATTTTAGCATGTTAAGAACTACTCAGAGACACTTAAGGCAAGATAAGCACTAGGAAACATCCTGTAGGGAAAAACATTTTGTTAGCACCCTCACAGTCCAAGTGGTTGAGTAAGTAATGGTTTGGTGGATACAGCGTTGGCTCCAAGTCAACGCTCAGCTCGGGCCAAGAGTTCCCAAGTGCTTTAGGCAAATGCCTTCACCCCCTGCCTCAAATTGTCCATCTCCAGAGCAGATCTAAAATACTCTCTTGGTGAGATCTTGCACAATACTGTTAAGAAAGCCTTTCCTGGCCTGTTATCACAGTATGAACAAGTACCATCCTGAGAACCTCCTGTGTTTCCCTGGGGTGGCCTCCATGGGTGACACCGCTGCCCTGCTGCCCTGAGTGGCCAGGGATTGCTGAGACTGACCAGCAAGGTGGCTCATCAGGTGTGACATAGCCTGAGCTGGCAGCGCAGGCACGGTGGTTTAGCTTTTGGAAAAGAAAGAAGTGACCTACTTCATCTGCAGGGAGGGGGTAGAGTGCTAGAACGCAGTGCCTGGCGTACCAGAGACATGCCACAGCTACAGCCCTTGAAGTACACCAGCCGTTAGGGCCTCGCAGCAAGAGCATGATGAGGGCAAGAGGACTTCTGCTTTGCATGGGTGCTTGTACAACAGTCAGCGTCCCTTGTGGCTTCTCCATCAGTCTCAGAGGCAGCTGAGCCCATCCATGCTGGGTGCCAGAAGGCATCCCCCATCCCCACCAAAAGGCTGATGCCGTGGGACATTTCATCAGATACCATTCTCCTATTTTAAATTCTATTTTCCTTTTGGTAACATCTATCCATGTGTAGTGGGATCCTTATTTGCTCCTTTTATCAAGAAATTTCTCTTGCTAATTTGTTTCTTTTGGGGGGGAGGGGAGGCTGGTGACACTGTGAGCTTGTCCCCCCAAAAGTCTCAAAGTAAAAGTTGACCTAGTCAGAGACAGATTGGTAGATCTTTTCCTACAAGTTACAGTTGGCTTAATT